ATGGAAAGGGATTATAGCATTCTAACATTATTTAATGGAATGGAGAGTGCAGCTTAATCTTTTGCCATTTTGAATTTTTTGCAACTTAATGACAATTTCATATCAAAGACCACTGAAAGATTGACCTGCAGAGATCTTTATGCTAGTCATTTTACAAGTCCACCATTCTGCTGCCTTCTACAGGTCTTATGGGATAAACATGACTTCTAGCCCAGTACAGTCTAACATTACAACCAAAACACAATCTCTGCTTTCTTTGGGCTCCATTTGGCCTTCCCTTTTTAGTGCAAACAGCCAGAGAAGTTGTTCCTTGTTATTCAAACATCTGTCTCTTATTGCGTACCTGTATGGCTGTGAATACAAAAGGGGGGAAAGTGCATGCGTGCCCCCAAGCACTGGCTGTAAAATGGGAACAAGCGGACTGACCACTAGAAATGCTCTTCATGTGTGTACATTTTTTGTCGCGGAATTCTACCTACATTTGTGCACGAACCTTACATAGCTACTAGTAATAGCCTTATATTTTGACTGATGCATTGATATAAGAGGTAGAAGACAGATAAAAGGTGGATAATGATAGATAAAAAGTCATATTTGAGCCATTGAAAAGATTTTTAATACCTCCTCCCAAATGTGATATTACTAGTATTATTATTATTGTTGTCTTAATTTAATAGTTTGGCCAGATAATTTGAAAAACAAAAAGGTGGGCGGCAGGGCTTAGAAGAGCCTGTAATCAGTTGTTTTTTGCCCCTCCCCCTGATGGTTCCTAGCTACCCTTGATGGGTTGCAGAAAGACAGTGTTATGTCAATATGTCGGCCAGACATTAGTGTGTGTTATCTCTCTTTGGTAGGGGAGGAAAGGCTATAGGAAAAGCCTCATTTGGAAAAACACAGCAGGTCCCCTCCTTGGTCTCAACCACTTCTTCCTAAACCACCTGATTACCTGGGGCATTTTCTTTATTAGTGTATGGATTTTGTCCCCGCCACCTTGGCACCCTTACAACTTACTCATACTTCAGCACACCTCCAGTTAGATAACACCTCCATTGTGGGGACAACTAGCAAAGCACAAGATGCTGTACACTATGATATTGGTCTTCTCTCTCTCTCTCTCTCTCTCTCAAAGATTTTCAATATTGGTGATGTTTGAAATCTGAACAATAAATGAGGTTGAAAATACCTGCTGATGAATCTCGATTTATAATAAAGTGGATATTTTGGTAAATGTGTACTAAAACAACATTTAATGAACATACCTTTGGAAAAAAAGTAAAATATATTTCAGATAATTCTATTTTTTAGTTTGCTGAAATTACAAGTTCTTCAAAGGACAGTTTATGAACAAAACTGACAAAGATGGAGGACAGTGATCTTCCTGGTGACAGCCCAGGCTAATACTAATGTCTCCCATTTTCACAACCTAATAACTGTCATCTTTACCCCTAATTACTCATTTGCAGGAAGTAATACTCGGGCCGCAATGTTTTCCAATGGATTTGGTGTTTGTGTGGTGCATATACATCAAATTAAATGAGTCAGCACTGTTCGATAAAATGATGGAGATCTTAGAATGTTTTTGATACAGCCGAAGCTACGGTAAAGTCTTGAAAATTTCGTCGNTGTGCGTTACACTTGTACATTTTTTTTTCATTTTTTGTGCCAAGTCCTGTAGTGTGGGATAATATTGAATTAGTATTAAGGTATTAGATTTTAGGTGGAACAGGTTCCTTTGGATATATGACACATTCATAAAGAGCAAAACTGTCATTCAGAAGAGTTGGCATGTTTACTTTTGAGATACAAAAACAAATATTTTTCTTCTGAAATAAAAGCATTGTAACATTTGAAAAACAAATCCTCATATATTAAGTGGATAGATTACGGGGCAGGGGGTAAAAAAATTCATGCAAATCTGGTCATTTAGTTTTTTTTTTTTTTCATGTGTTGGAATATATTACCCCAGATAAGATGAGGAGCAGACATTGTTAACATGGATTTGGATCTTGTTCACTGTCTGTTGATGTCATGTCAGTGGCCCAGACCGTCCCTCCCCTACAGAGATGGGGGCAAAGATAGTCCTGACTGAACATGTCATATCTACTCTGACGGAGTCTGGGGCTCACCACTGGGATGGTGGACTTTGCTGTCTGATGACGTTCAATATTCTCAAAGGGCAGACTCAGATTTGTTGTGAACTGGTGCACGACTGGTTCAATGGGAATCGTACCAGATAGACGATTTTTCTTGGTGGCTGGTGTGACCACTTTAATTAGAACATTTATATTGATTTGTCATTAAACCAGTTTTAAACCAGTTCTAAATTAATCTGGTGGGAACAAAGCTTTCGGTGTTGAGTAGATTATAGTCCTAAATTAAGTTTTTTTCATAAATAATGCAGCTATTCTGTGCCTTCTTCAATCTCCAGATGGTTGAGTAGGGGGAAAATCTCTGGTTGCAGTCCAACTCCATAGTGATGTCATGTACTGCATGTGTCGTTGTCACCTCCATTCAGCGTGGTAAAAGAGTTGTGCTTCATAGTTGTGTTTGCAGTGGTTCAGTTAGAGTCTGAAAATTCTGAATAGGCGGGCAAACAAGAGTTAGCAATGTTCACATACGGAGAGGGGATTTAGATAGGGCACACTCTCCTCTGGTGAATGGGAGGCTTTTGTGTCTAGCTCATTAGTCGGGTTGAGTGGCTAGGGGTGAGGGAGGGATTGCCTGTGTATGGAACTGCCTGCCTGTACTGTGTTAATAGTTTCCAGTAGGAAGAATGAATATTTGGCTAACACAAGGGAGGCTGGGTTCTGAATTTGGTGGGTGGTGGTGGTGGTGGTGGTGAAGTAAACCAACCTGATTCATACGCGTACACAATGATTTCATAATGATGAAAGTAGACTAGTCAAGCAGAAGTTAAACTGTTGTTCATCTTTTCCATCGTTGGATGTAAATTTAGTATCCTCCATTTCTTCAATACATTTTAGTATGTTGACCAATCTCTCCAGATAAATGTCATATGATAATTATGAAGTACATTGACTTAATTATGTAGTTATGATTAAGACCAGTCTATATGATAATGGTGAGAATTTATTCTAAGGAGTGGAAATAAATGAAATTTGAAGAATTTTTTGGGGACTTGAAAGGCTGGAAAAGCCTAGTGTCCTGTGTTTCCTAGTTCAGCAAGTTGTGAATGTGTGTATTTGGTGGAAGCTGTCAGAACCCATTACTGTGTTGAAGCAAACAGGCGTTAATTATAGTACACTACCAAACTTGAGCTCCCAGGAAAAGGTCATGTTGGCGTAGATTGAATATTTTTATCAGAAGAAACCTGAAAACTACTCTGAAATGTCTGTAATAAGATTGGCAGCATATAAGATGTGGAAATCTGATTTAGCAATGATTATTTAAGTGGTCTATTATTCAGGCAGTCCAATTCTATTGCTGTTGCAGTCAGCTTAGCGAGGAAAAAGTGTATTTTTCACAGGGAGGCTGAAACGTAATCTGTTTTATTGATTGGGGGTTGTGATATGTATGGCATTAGTTTCAGAGATTTAATTCTGGGGAGAAATATAAGCTGTGAACTTTATCACGTTTTAAGGGATTTATTCCTTAGTGTTTGTAGGGTGTTTGTATCAGTTTGCCTCACAAGTTATCCTGTATGGGATTGTATGGCCCATGGAAAGAGCATTGCTCATTTGTAGGGTTTGAAGCTAAGAGTGTATGTTGCTGAATTGATTTTCCCTTTCTCTTATTTTCTTTGACTCATCAAAGTACATGTTGATTGGTTGTTTGTTCTTGATATTACCCAAATGCTCACAAGTACTCTTATTTCTGTGCAGTTCTCTTAAAAATACAACAGCCAACCTGCTTGCAAAAAAAAAACTTAACAGTATAATAATAATAGTAGAAATCATCAAAATAGGGTGGATTAATAAATGTACATTATATACACTATATAAAAGAAATAGATAAGAAGAGTGCTGACTAACACTTTGCAGCTTATTGAAGTCATGTTCTGTTTCACAATAGACATTGAATCACTGTTGAGGGGAAAATAATTCAAGTTGGACCAGTTAACTCCAAGAGATGTTCAGTAATGAAAGTGTAAGACAACCTGCCATTTATGAAACTTCAATTTCTCTCCCAGCTCTAACTCTCCATAATTACCAACCAGAATGCTGTGATCTGTGTCCACAGCCTCTGATTTTCTAGATCACACTTCTCCCCCGAGACCCCACAAAACATTTTGCATTGCTAGAAAAATCCTATTTTCCACTATTGATTTGGTGTGACTTGTCTGCTGATACTGGAGTTTAAAGCATGGCACTTACTATAAGAGGAGGAGAAAAATGAAGTTTGAAATGACAGGCCTGTGGGATTTGATGCCTTTACAGCTGCAGATCGATTGATTTGTGAAAATAGTACATTGAAAATGGCTTTGGTTGTAGTGAGAGTGTGTGACGCGCGATTGTTCTGTGTGCAGAAATGGGATTGTATTTTTTAATGGAAAAAGGGGGTTTCTCAAAGGGATCTGACTTGAAGACTGTGCATTTGATGTATTAAGTGATTGGTTATATACTGATGACATGAATACAAATGTGAGCTTTTTTGTGGAATCATGAAATCATGAGATTTTTAATTCAATTCTAATGTGTCTTTAGGTGGTTGCAAGACTCGTGGTCGATTAAGTGGTGTGTTCCATGATAAATGTTCAAAGTTTTTTTTTCTTTTGAACCTAGGTTTATGTCTGTAAATACAAGCAATTAAAAACCTTGTGTAATGATGTGCTTTGGAGAAATTACTTTTTAGCTACAAATACTCTTACTTTACAAACCTAGAGCTCTAAGCATGAATTTGAATTTCCTAAACCCACCATTCATATTTCAAAAGAAGTATTTTCTTTATATGTTTTTTCACCACTTTGTAAAAAGTCTATCACTTTCCGAAAAGTTATTTTATACCCATTATAAATCTCTTACTATCTTCTTGTCTTCCAGTGATGTCTGCTGCCTTGACGTTGAGGTGCTACTGCTGGCCAGACTGCCCCATCCACGCGGTGAACAACACGTGTATTGCTGAGGCCAACGCCAAATGCTACAGTGCAATGGTGAGGACGTCATACGGGGAGGATATCATGACATACGGATGCCTGAGTGGGGATGAAGGACAATCCACCATGCAGGTGAGGGTGTGTTCTTGTGAAGGTCACCTGTGTCTCTGCACTGACATGTGTGTACGAATGTGTGTGCACGCACATGTACACACACACACACACACACACCTATGGTATGAGGTAAAATAAGTATTAGCCTCACACAAATATAAGCTTCAGTATATGACAAAGTAAACATGATAAAAAATAATTATTATTATTATTTAATCTTTTGTTTACCAACTTTTACAACCAGAGATGCATACACTTTTCTTGAAGTGCACTCATGCATGTACTACGTTAGGAGACTCTTGTCCAACACATGGACTTACACAGTTAAATTGTAGAACCCTGGTTAGTTTATTGATACAGTATTCACTTGTATTGTTTCATGGTATATTATGCAATGGTGTGACCCTGCCCAGGTAAATGAAACAGAACCAGTAATTACTATTGATTATCGGTGGTTGAATTACTGTTTTATAAACATGCACATCAATAGTTTAACACAAATAAGATAATGTCAACTTTGTTTGAATTAAATTACACTTACTTAAGCAAACTCCTGAATAGATCAGTGAATGTAGTATTGTTTTGAGTGAAATTTTGTGTTATGTTTTTGTTCAGCTTGAAAAAAAGTTGAATAAAATGAAATTAGAACGAGTTTTAAAAGCCCAGTTTTAATGATTATGTAACCTTTGTTAGTCTTTATACAATGTTTCCACTGTTTTTCTGATTTCTGTGGATGTAAACAAATCCCATTCATGGAGAACAACTAGAATTTGTTTGACTGGTCTTAACCAAATTATAGAATTAAACTTTGATATTTAATCACATTCTCCTTTCTTTTCAGTGTAAGGGAGACATAGTGTACCACTTAACCCCCAAAACCATAGCTTGTTGTGATAATGGAACTCACTGTAATCGAGACTTAAAGCCAATCTACAAATATTTTGCTACAACAACACCAGGTGAGTAAAAAGAATGGGTTTTGGGAGTGACTCCTTAATAGTTCTGTTTTGATTGACAGACAGTAGTAGTATTTATGTGATTAGATACATTTCATAGCACTAAATCCATTTAGGATTTTCTTAAACATTGCTTTCTAGTTGTAAATGAAATCACTTCCCCAGTGTGCATGCTGTTTAACTTTCAAATCTGCCCGTCACACGATATTAGCTTTGAAACTTGCCTGTCCCCTGGGGTTTGTTTTTTTGAAGTCTTTTCTTCCTTTATCAGTGTTAGGATGGTGTGCCACACATTTCACTTGTCCTTACAGGCAGTTCAGCTGTCCCTGGTGGCAGAACTCTAGTTTATATCAGGGCCCTTGGTGCCTTCCAGATTAAATTGAATATTTGAGTTAATTCCATAAAATCTATCAAGATCAGGCACTATAATAGTAACTTTGAAAGCCCTTTTGTCCACGGCTGTAAGTTATGTGGCATTCGAAAGTAAAGTAGAGCTGTGTGGAAACAGTGTGATAACGTCTAATCCTCGACATTGTTAGTGTTTCTGTAGCAAAAAATGTACGATAAATCCCATATTGATGGATTCGGCTTTGATTTGGTCAATAAATGGTGAGGGGACTAGTTGGAATGAATGGTAGAATTAGTATTGCTTTTAGCATTCTTGTTTGACCCTAGGTGTAAAACAGAACTATTTTTCAATGGCTCCAGTGTTGACTTTGCTGTAACAGCAAGCATCAGGTTTTGTCAGGGGAAGAATGAAGGGGAAACAAGTGGAGATTGTTCTGTACGGCTCAACAAATACAAGAGTTGCAGCCAATTTCAGAATAAACAGAAGCGAAATTGGTTGTAGTATTTGTTTGAGAGAATACAGCTTGTGGTATAGCAAATAAAATGTGCATTGGCTCAGTTGGTGTTTGATATTGAGGCACAGATGATGGATGTAGACATATTGTATCTGAAGTAGTTTCTGTACACTCCCTTTTAGAATTTAGGAGGAATGAGTATTTACAGCAGTGACATCGTAGGATATTTGCTATTGAAAAAACGTCATGATTTTTTTTTTGTTTGCTAATTTGAAAAAAAAATAAAAATGGATGTAATGGCTTAGCTTACAGTTTTCTTAAAATATTTCACAGTCTCATTCGTACTTCAGTCAGCTATGTTGTTTTGCATTCCCACTTTATTATATTGACCAGTTTAGTATTCATATCATGTTTCCCCATTAGTGTAGTTTTCAATCTTCCCCAGTATGACTTCTGTAAGGCCTTGCTTTTTATGCGATCTTTCCTCTGATGCCATCAGGTACATTAGGCTCTGATATAAATATTTCTGGCACAGTTTGACGGTGAGACAGCGCATGGAATGTTTTGTTGTTATCACTTTTCTTGTCAACTTATCATCGGATCTTGTTCTTTACATGAATCATTCTCTGGTTCACAGACTAATTTATAACTGCTTTTATTTATGTGTTAAATAAGCACATATATTTTTTACATTCAGAGACATTAAATATTCACTAACAAAGTCATAACTGTGAAAATATACAATGTTTTTTTCCCTGAATAACTGCAAGGTGAAGGTATTGCAGGCACCCTGTCCAAGTTTTTTGTGTTTGGTATTCTTTGTGATGTTTTCAGTCTTGTTCGAACCAAATATCAGTTTTGGATCATTATTCCATTACTCTGCATGTCAGTCCTTTCAGAATTAGAACAAAGTAGAACAAAAATTTTGTTTCATAAATATATGTCCTCTGCAATCCCTTTTATCTTTGCTTTGGGGCTTATGTTTTCTTGTAAGTGCACTATGTATACAGATGTTTAAATACTATTTCTGAAAATAAAATATCTGCAAATGGATCATGAATAAATTTGACTGGCCATCCAGGTTACATTTTTTAAAAATCAATGTGAAATGTCATTGCACACATCATATAAAGTCCTGTATACCTTACTTATACTTTGTTGATATATTATTATTGTTTGTATAAATTTTCTTTCAGCCACTGGACCAGAGAACTACAACGGTTTCTCCGATCACATGCTGCAGGTGGTGATTGTTGTCACGGTGACATTTTGCCTGATCTGTATCATCATCACAGGGACATGTCTGTACTTCAGGTAAGAAGACGGCTCATGTCAGCAATTACAGTTAAAATGGTTTTATTGATATGTGTCTTGGCATGAAAGGCATGAGCAAAAAGCTGCAATGTAAATCATGTAGATCAACAATTAACGAATGAATAAAAATGATGATGACTGATGTGTGATGAGAGGAGCAAAAGACATGAGGCAACCAGATGAGGTATGCCATGATAACATTCCTGCTAAATACACGTGGTGAGTAATGGTAACTTCAGCAGTGAAAGTGAGCTGAAATTCGGTAAAGTGCGAAGAAAAGTAATAGTAAATCAGATTTTTTTTTATGTATCATGCAGTTTATTCTTTTGAAATGAGAGACGGTGTGATTAATTTCTGGATAGCTAATCAAACATATTAAGATAGCAGTGCAGTTTTTCTGGTCTGATCTGAGACTACTGATAACAGGATGGTGTTGTAAGAAGAAAGGAGAAATATAGACCTGTAAGTGTAGGTATTTTTGCAGCCTTGCAGAGTTGTGTTTACACACCCTGTCACACATTAGCTGGTGTTGGAGCCAGGTTTTGCATTGTCTCACCGTCTCCAGTGGATGTGTCCTTAATTGTGTGTCTGTACACCAGTGCATACTAATGGGCCATTACCATGTTTTATCTGGCCTCAAGTATGCAGGAACACGCAGGGCAACATCACTGCTGGCACCTAAGGCTGGCGTGGACCTCAACTACAGGCTGAGATTTTTACACCAGAAATTAGCTGTGTCATCTAAGAACACTGTTGTGTTTCAACTTTCCTTCAAAGGTTTCAGGTTACTGACACAGGGTTTATTTCACAAGATGCTAACATATATTATTTTTTTTTTGTGCATGATTGTTCATTATATCTATGATTTTTTTTATAGAAAACAATATCATATCCTTTGAAAATGTTAAAATGTTGGCATTTATGTTTCCTGTTGCTTAAAGATGCATACAAAGTCAATTTTTTGTCACAAAAACCAACCAAATGCCAGCATATCGTTTCAAGTAGTATAACTAAGAGAATTACCAAAAGGCATTGTATAATTTTACCTGAAAATGATGTTTGAACAGATTTTTCTGCTGGCATTTTAAGCTGTATGTCAATGGGGCAGGAAAGTAGGTCACGGAAGTAGGTTAAATTTACAACCATAAATTTAAAGAAAGGAGCAGTCTAAAGGTCATTTATGGCTGATGGAGTGATCTATTCAGTTTTTCCCTTGGCATGTCGAATTTATTTGAGTCATATAAGAATCTAGTAGAAGTGGTTTACATGTGTTACTGGGAATCCACACTCCACCGATGCTCGGTTCGTATGTACCTTTAATGCAACCAATCTTGCTAGTTGACTCCGCCCCAGATGCTGTAGGATGGGCGGAGCTACTGTGAGGTAACATGATATATGGACACCAACAGATACAGGTACAAGCGTTTAAAAAACTACAAAAAAATCTAAACAAAGATTTTTAAGAATGGTCACTGGCAGGGCTTTGAAGTACTCATAGGTGTCATAAAATTGGTGTTGAAAAGGTGTTCATGGGTGCTCAGGTAAAGAAGACATTTTTAAAATCAATTTTGCATTTTCTACCCCAATGATGCAATTATGACGTCATAGTAAAATGGCATTTGTGTAAATGTAAAGGAATTTAGTCAGTGAACACTGAAGATTTATCTTTTATCTAAAACATGTACTCATATAGGCAGTAATTTAGGGAGTTTTGTCTAACCCTGTCTATAACCTTATAGGAAGATTTATGTGTTCAGTCAAGTGTGTTCTAGAGTACTGGTATCTGGAAGTGGTGAAGTATCCCCTCAGGATTGTGTGGTGTTAGAAGGGGGCTTGGTTATGATGGTAGTAAATATGTAGTATTTCCATGTTAAGACCATTTGATAAATGGTTGTTTTTTTCTCTTCAGGGTATACTGTTTTGCATAGAACAACATAATTGGAATGAGGTTTGTCACTGTAACTGCTATCTGTCTGTCACTTTGTTATAAATTTAGAATGAAGCATTTAGATGTGTATCTTATTAAAGCTTATAAATTGCTTGGTAAAAGGGACATGCCACAAAATGTGGTTTGACACTGGCGACAGACTGCCTTTGACTGAGCAGAGAAATCTCCTAATTGAGAGAATATGCTGTCCGACTACTAATATGTTGAGCCAATTGAAGTTTGATCAAAGTGCCTTTTAAGTACACATGTCTAACACAATATTTCAATGAATATTATTTGAACAACAGCAAAAAAAGCGTTCTCAATTATGAAAAATTGTCTCAGAGCCAAGAAAATTATTTTAATTACAAGTTTCATGAAATGTAAATCCATTTGAAACTAAAGTGCATTAATAAAAAAAAAGGTTTCTTTTTGATTTACCCCCTTGGATGCAGGCTATAAAGAACATAAAGTTGACGGACTTCTTTACCCATAAGTTAAGGTGAGACTTTCCCTGTAATAACATAAGTGTATGATAGGATAATTTTGTTTTCCTCTTCAATGTTACTCGGGGTCAAAACATCAGTAGACTGGTAAATTGCTGCAGTTCCTGGCTTGCCATTGCCAGTGGTGGAGTGTGGCAAAATTGAAGGTGATTTCCAAATAAATTGCAGCGTTAAGCCTCAGTAATAGGGACTCTGTCTGCCTCACCTGCAGTTAAAAATCAAATTTGCTCCATAAGCTGTAAGCTTTTGCCAAGCCATAAATTGTGACCAGTTGTTAAGGTCAGATGACATGAACAAGGCTTGGCTGTCCCAGTTGCTAGCCTCTAAGACAGATGTACCAGAGCAATTTTTTTTTTTTTTTTTGCTGGTTTAATTTTTATTATCATTTACCTGCTTTGTAATATAGTGATACAAGAAAACAACGTCTTTGATTGATTTTTTTAAAGGACAGCTTTTTTCTTTGTCATGACAATTTTTTTTAAAAGTATGCCTAAAGAAGGGGAGGGACAAATTATTATAATAACCTCAGGCAACTTATTCTTTTATCACGCATAAAAGTTCACATTTTGATGTGAGCTCAGGAGAAACACCCCTCGTCAGAGCCCTGCTGTGGAGAGTGTGGCCCTGTTCTGTTCCTACCAGCCTGGAACTGCCAGTAACTGGAGTCTGGGAGTGATTTTGATCACGTCCACTGATGCTTTACAGGCAGTTCCTATTCTTAGACATGGTCAGAGTGTCCCACAATTCTTTGAAACTGTCAAGTTGAATTTAAAGGCTGGCTACCTGGCAGGACAGTGTGCCTATTGCTGGTTGTAGAGTGTTGTTATTTTAAGATGGTTGTTCTGCCTGACTGGCACAGGTTTTTAGATGCCATTGTTGCCAGAGAGAGAGAGAGAGAGAACTTACTGTTCCTGTTGCAGTTGCAAACATTTACTCTAGCTGAATTCTGTTAAGGATATTTTCTTTTATCAAATGATAATTTTCCCAGAGAGGAAACTTAATTTTATTATTTTAAAATCACGTAAGATGTTGGTTATTCTCTCCAGATTTTCTCAAACTATCTCAAGGTGTGACACTGGTGGGGTGGAGAACATCATAACATAAGCATGCAGTCATCCCATCTGCAGTGAGTTTGCAGAATCCTACTGTTAAGTGCTTGAAATAAATGGAAACGGGTTGCTCTGTATTAAATGCTGGTGGGATGTTTAAGCAATATCATTCAATTTCTTAAGGAGCTGTTTGTTTTGCTGATGAAGATTAATATGTCAACAGGATGGTTTTAAACAATCTAGTTATTCTCTGGCAAGAATGCCACTTAAGTTGAACCCAGTCAGTGGTACAGATACAAAGTGCACATACCCTTAGGAAAATGAAATCTAATTCTTGCCTTTGTTAAAAGGTTTTTCCATAAAGGTTTCCACCCCAATGTCCATTGTTATTTTGGGACGTCAGATATCATTACATTGATTCCCACACACACACCACAATGATGTAAAACATGTTTCATCTCTTATTTAACTATTTTCCTTCAAACTTTATAATATCTTAAAGGGTGTAAAATTGACCAATAAATGTTTTATCTGAAGATGTGTATTTGGAAGAATTGTTTTTAGATATTTAAGCAAATTTTTCAGCAAGTTCGTATTGCATGTTAGGTACATTATTGAAAGCTTAATTCAAAACAGTGCATAGAATATTTTGTTTTCTTTTGTGCGTTTTCCCAGTATCATGGATCATGTTGTTCACTTATGATGTTCAATTATCAACAGATGTATACAGACATATCGTTTTAATTCCAGGTTTAAAAGACAACAAAAGCGCCATCTGGAAGAGGCAGAACGCGAGCAGTTCATCCCAGCTGGCGAGTCACTCAAGGAACTGATAGAACAGTCCCAGTCCTCTGGCAGTGGGTCTGGGCTGCCCTTACTGGTACGCAGAGCTTTCCCGTCCCGGGGGGCGGGGAGGCTGGGGGGGGGGGGAATCACAAAAGAAATTCAGACCGAAAGTTTGTCTTGATAATAAATGATAGTTTTTGGTGTACTTCTGTTTAGTATAGGTCCATATTATGACAAGAATGAGGACAAGAGATGCCAAAATATGATATAATGAAACTGTTCATCTGAAATATCTACTGCTGCTTTCTGTTTAAAAACAGGTCTAGCATTTCATTTCATTTTGGGCTGTTAATGATTTATGCTGGGTCAAAGTAAAATAAAAAAAACTTGTTATTTAATTTAAGACCAATGTATGGTCTTAAGTTCTTGTGTGAAACCAGCCGGTTTCTACATGGCACAGTTCTGATTTATGTATCCAAGCTATATATTCCTAAAGGAATTTGTTAACTATGTGTTTCTTTAAATATTTGCATGGAAACGGTATAATCCAGTGTCTATTAAATGATGCACCATGGAAACCAAAATGAAATTGGCCATAAAAATTGTTTTAAGTGGTTCAAAGTTCCTACCTGAAAATGTGGTCACTTGTTTATATGGACTATGACATTTTGTATGCTGTGTTCATTTTTGTTTCAGGTCCAGAGAACTATAGCCAAACAAATTAATCTAGTAAAAAGCATAGGCAAGGGGCGATATGGTGAGGTATGGATGGGAAAATGGCGAGGAGAAAAAGTTGCAGTTAAAATCTTTTTCACGACTGAAGAAGCCAGTTGGTTCAGAGAGACAGAGCTATATCAAACCGTACTTCTGAGACATGAGAATATTCTGGGTAAGGATTGGGGAGAATTGTATATGTATCTGCCCTTTCATCATATTTATTTTCTAGACACACCTATGTTTATTTTTCTTTACTTTTGAACCAAGAATGAATAGTTAGATAGACATAGTCTATTTCACAAATGCATTGTTATCGCTTTGAAATATATACTGGAAAATTGTACATTGAGTCACATTTGTTTGATAACTGCCTCTGTTATATAGCACTCTGAACTGTTGAAGGAAGAGGATGTCGTGTTACCTTTTTTTACCTCCCCCCCCACCCCCCTCCATGCACAAGAAATAGATGGATAGGTGGAAAAATTAGTGGTGCTCCTACTCCCTCTCTACCTTCACTTATGCTACCACAACTGACTGTAATTAAGCATTCAGAAACCAGGCCATCAGAAAAACGGGTGAAAAATGAAATTTACTTTCTAATTTGGTATTGAATATATGAATATCCTCAGTAGACCTTTATCATCCAGTAGTGAAGTGTCCAAATAGTATGCGCTATTTATGTGACATGTGATCTTCTCATTTTATGTTCGTATTCCAGTCCATCTCCCCTGAGTTAATTATACATTATTATGGTAAATATATATAAATGGCTGTTTTGCATGACATATGGGTTAGGAAAAACAATGAATATGTAAGGGTTAGTTCAAATGGAGTAAGTTATGAAAAACAAGGTTCTGTTGCAGTGTAAAACATTAACCCTATATTTTACTTGTTTTCAGAATAACCACTTTTCAACTTAGTTTTTATCTCCCACTTGATTTCTTCCCAGGATTCATTGCTGCTGACATCAAGGGCACAGGGTCCTGGACGCAACTTTTCCTCATCACGGACATGCATGAACACGGGTCCTTGCACGACTACCTGAAGGAGCACACAATCAACGCTCACTCCATGCTGGTCCTGGCGCATTCTGCTGCCAACGGACTCGCACATTTACATACAGAAATATACGGAACACGAGGTAAGACAGAAGTCAAATGTCATGTCTGCTCACATATGACATATGACACAATAACATTATATTACCAAACAATTTGTATACATCAATAAACAGAGAAAGAGGTACAACAGATACACTTTCTGTTCTACCACATGCACAGTCCTATGGCTTCTAGGACCAGTAGACCCCAGAAAACGGCTAGTCAGAAACAAAATTTACCAACTGGGAGATGAAATCTATACAGTAGATAGTTGAAAACCATTGTAAAACAACCGCTATAATTTTTATCAATCAGTTGCGATGGCCATCATCAAACATCAATGACTTTACATAAATATATGTTGTAATTTCATAAGATTTATCATCAAACAAGATATGGGTGATGATGCAGGTAGCAGGCCTGCTTTGATGTATGAACTTGTAAAGAGGAAGTTATGTAGGCATGTATTTGGTGCAGCATTCAGTGCTTACTCTTGCCTTTTAAATTTTCATCGTATTTCATCAAAACTAAGTATGGATATGGAATATTTTGGTTTCTCTTAAAAGTGTCTCATTTATTAACTGGAAATTTTATTGTTTTGCTAAATAAAAATTCTTGGAATGACCTGTGCTAAGTGAATGTAATATGTAGCATTCAAACATAAGCTTTTGTCCAACATTCGTGATACAATTTGCAAAAAAAAAAAAAAAAAAAAAAAGGCATATATATATATATATATATATATATATATATATATATATATATATATATATATATAGATAGATAGATAGATAGATAGATAGATAGATAGATATATATAGATAGATATGCACCATAAGCTGTAAGAAAAGCCACATTGTGAAGATATAGCTTAATTTTCTCTGTAGTCACTGTCATGTAATCATGATTTCTCATCATCTCCATTGCTGGTCATAGTATTCAACTGAGCTGTAGTGGGACAGCTCAGGGATAAGAATGACCTCCTCTGGTTAAACGTTGTGGTCATAGGTTCAGTTGGTCAGACAGTATGATGCTAACTTGAACCTTCACAACTGGTTTGGAAATGCACCTGACGATAGAAGAGGCGAATAAAAATATGTTTATAAAATGTGTAAGGAAATGTAACTCTGCAAGTAAAAAGACATTATCCAAATGGAAAAACGGATCCTTTTTCGACTTGAAGATAAACAGTATATAGGAACATCAGTCGAAAAGTAGAAACATACGACTAAAAGAGTGTTGATCAGGTTCAAAAGAACAAGGTTTGACTGTATATTATGTGTAGAAGGTGCTATTTTGAGGAGTTTCTGGCCTAATATATTGCAGATGTGCTCATGCCTGAGAATATGTCATGTATGCAAGGGGATTAATACTTTCTGCTACATGCCTATAAATATTGCACTGTCTATTGCCATAGAGGTGTTTGTTAATTATGCTTGAGACTGAACATTAAATGCTGAGACAGTAACACCATTAAAAAAAAAGTTAATTGCGTGCACTAAAAACTGTAAAATATTGATCAGCAGAGTGTTCTGGATACACATGGTTTTAGGAGCCTCTCCACGCAGTAAGATAATTGCTGGAGCTATGCCAGCCGAAAGCAAGGGCAATTTGTAACAACTAAGCAATGAAAGTGCTATCGACTCCGCAGGACCATCAATTACAGTCTGTACCTTGGTAATAATGATGCATCTCCTCAGTTTTAGTGGTGAAACCTTGGGAATTGAAAGTAATGGAGAGAAAGCTGAAGAGATAATTTGGAGGGGTTTTTTTTCTACAAGCAGAAGTTGAAGCAAACCAATTAGAATGGATTTTTTCTTTTGAATTAAAAAGTGCTTTGGAATCATTAATTCATCCTTAAAATCATGATCAGAAATTTCTTTAGTAGACTGAAGTGTTTTGAAAAACCTAAGCATGCAGGAGGGATTTATCCTTATTCGTTGCAAGTGTACTGACAGTTACTAGTACATTAGCTTTGAATGTTAAACAGGTTGAAAATTTTAACTCATTTTTCACATATATCTGTTTATTATTGTGCTTCCAAATTAATATCTAAAAGTTAAGGAGCAGATTCTTTACTTTCTTGTGTTCATTCTTAAAGCAAGAAACCATTTGAAAATTTAACAAACTCAACAACCCCTCTTTTCTTTCTTTCTTTTTTTTTCATTTTACTTTTTATTAAATGTATTTTTTTCCTCCCCATTAGATAGCTTGGTTATTAAGGAAGTAGATCAGATCTGTTTCAGTAGAACAATTCATATCCTTTCCATAGATGATGGACACAGTTATTAATGGTACACTAAATTTAGCTGACTGCTGGCATTAGAAGCCTGTGATAGCAGAGGAAAACCATGGACCTGTCAGTGGGAACATCAATCAATAGATATTGCAGATTTCGAGAACAAGTTATTGGAATTTGGAGCACCAGGAATGAATGACAGGCAGAAATTACAGAGAAAAGGGGGGGGGGGGGGGATAGTGATGTATTAGATGAAAAGGAAAAAAAAACTCTGCATTTAATATTTTTCGTTCAACTAAGATAAATGAAATTGGAAAGTAGGAGTGAGGAGGCATAGATATAAATAGAATGTAGGGTTTCAGTTTTTCCCTCCCTTTGCTACATATTAATTATATGTGAATCCCCAACTGTTCAGATTTACTAAAGAAAGCTTTTACATTAATTGTGCTTACAATCTCAGCTTGCTGAAAATCCATCAAAATTGAAGTAACACAATTATTTCAGTACTTATGATGCAAAGAGTAGGTGTCATCCAAGAAGATTGTTGATATAACATTTACAAATGAGGAGTAGATCCAATGGCAAAGTGATTAAAAACAAGATATAGTCAGGACGCATTAGGCCTACTTTCACAGTCCATTTAACTTGTTCAAATAAATTGCATTTATTATATTGGTCTTGATTTCAGGTAAACCTGCTATTGCCCACCGAGATATCAAGAGCAAAAATATCTTGGTAAAGAAGAATGGAACTTGCTGTATTGCTGATCTAGGCTTAGCCGTCAGATCCATCAGGTAAAATACATTGGTTACTATAACTACTGTAACCACTCTCCTCTTTTGAATGGGCAAAAATTATTTTAGAAGCATAAAAATTATATTTCAGTGTAGCATTTGTGGTGCTTTTACGTCATAGGATAGAACTATAAGGCAGCTTTTCAATTTTGTTGCTACACCTAGATACATACATTCTGATTAAAAAAATAACGACTTAAAAATACAGTATCTGTAAAATTCATAATCTCCCCAAATTGAAAAGATCGAGTCATTACTTTACTATTCATACTAATTAAGGAACTATTTTCCACAAATACTTTTAATGCCCAAGACAGGTAATATGAACTTCATGGAAAAGTTTTTTGTGGTAAATGTGGTCTTCGGTGAAAAGTATTTGTTTTTGTTTTCAACTAGTTATGATGATTGTTGAAAAATAATAGCAAATTGTTGTCTATAAGTGGAATTGTTGAGTAATGGTTAGTGTTTTGACGAGTTAAAAATAAAGAAGGCAAATAGGGGCTTTCCAATATACTGGGTAGATTATTGAAATATTTCAGTACCCAGATTTTTTTTCTGACTGGTAATTGATCAGAGTAAAACCACAGAGTGCATTGCTGGCTCATTCAATCAACAGTTATTGAGAAAGACTCAGTGTAAAAAGAAAATAGTAGTCAGTCTCAGGGAGGTAAAGGAATAGAAATAAAAGAAGGGCATTTTGGATAAATATGCACATTAATTCAATGTCTAAATTTTAACTGTATAATTTGAGTTTTTTTATCATTTAAACTATTATTATTATTTTTTTTTTTTTTTATTCAAATCACACTTATTTGTCACCACACATTTTTACCTCTAAGCACAAGTTCCTGATGCCTTCTAATTTTCCATTAAGTCTGCTGAGGGATGCCCCATTCTGAAACAGGAAAAAAAATCATCGAAGTTATTTTACCCATTGAAGATTTTTTCATGCCTGATTATTCAGCATGCACACAATGCCCACATCTCCTGTCATTAGGGCGTTGATAAAAGATCCAGCATAAAATGAGCAAGAAATAGTTCCACTTTCGCTGGTTGATAACAGCTTCAATCAGACTACAGGATATATGCTCGAGGATTGCGGAGGAAATTGCATTGTGACCACGTTGATTGCCTTGACTTTGTCGCTTCAATAAAGCACTTTTTTTATGAATTACCATTTTTTTCCTGATGGCTTCTGATACTAGAGAAATATGATTATAATTTCCTAAGGGATTTCAGGATAATGAAAGGAATGATCAATTGTTCTGGAAAGTAAATCACTAACATGGTTGAAATGCGCTGGAATACAAATATTTTGAGTGGCTCGCTTTTTGTAATTAGATAAAGATGTTGCTTTGCTAGGGACAATTTGAGATTTCGTAACCACAGTAACACAATTTAAATTTTGCAATCACAATATAACGTGGGGGAGGGCTGTTTGATCCTCTTGGTGGCAGCTTTTCGCAATTGCTATCAATATTTTTTTTGAACCGACAACCAAATAGGGATGAATATTTCAGTGATCTTTATAAGTTATTTGACTAGTTGCTAAGTGTCTTCTAGGTATGAACGTTCTAAATTTCACTGAATGGTTTTGTTAAAAAGATAAATACCTAACATCAGATTCAGATGTCTAACTAATGGATTGCTTGCTATTATTTTGATGTTAAACATTCTCAGTTACTCATACATTGAGAAAATTATATGACATTGAACATCTTTTTTTTACCAGTGAGACCAATGAGGTAGACATTGCCCCCAACACACGCCAGGGCACCAAGCGCTACATGGCGCCTGAGGTGCTGGATGAAACGATACAGAAGAACCACTTTGATGCATTTAAGCAGGCAGATATGTATTCATTCGGCTTGGTACTGTGGGAAATCGCCAGGCGGTGTGTCTCAGGGGGTACGTAAAAGTCACAGTCATATCTGTGCTATTGGACTCATGATATCCTACTTGTATGTTATGTGTATAATGTGTATGTAATACCAGTCAGGGAGGTGTATATGACATACAAGAGTGCTAAGCACAAAATGAAGTCAAATACACCTTGCTGACAAATGTAATAACTTGGATATGACACATGCTATAGCTCATTTATATGTGGCATCCACCATGAGATTAAGTTTATTTGTTATTCTTTTTTTCACTAAACATTTTTCATGCATTCATCCAATGGACTTCAAAGTTTGAATCACACTATTATGCCACTGTTAAAACAGGCATTCAGTCTTAATATGCCTTTGCTAAACTAGTCTCTGAATGTAAAGTCATTCTGAAGTACAAAATAACTGTGCAGTTGTGTTCTATTTTAGGTATAGTGGAGGAATACCAGATCCCATACCAGGACTTGATTCCCAGTGATCCTAGTTTTGAGGACGTCAGGAAGCTGGTTTGTGTGGACAGACAGAGGCCTGCCATACCTAACAGGTGGACCAGTGATGAGGTAGGCTGTACAGAGAAAAGAGAAGAAAGAAGGGGGGGGGGGTTCAAGTTAGAAGTATGTTGGGGTTGGGGGGGGGGGTAGAGTTCAAGGATATTGGGGTTGATGGAAAAAGTCTTTCCAAAAAGAGATGAGATGAAATTTAATAAAAATGGAACATTAATCAGTTTTAATGTGTTTTGTACATTAATTTGTATTTTCCAGTATTTGCGGACTATGGCCAAAATTATGCAAGAGTGCTGGAATCACCATCCTGCAGCCAGATTAACGTCATTACGAGTTAAAAAGACATTGTACAAAATGGAGGAAAGCATGGAATTGAGCATCAAAGATCTGATCTGAAGGGGCACCTGTTAGTACTTATGGTGCAACTGTAACTTGCCACTGAAGTATGTATACTCATTAAAAGATGTCCAGCACAAGTAGGTGTAGATGGTGCTGTTCCTCAAGAGAGGACAACAGCAGACAGCTAACTTACATACAAAGATATGGACTTGTTAGGCAACCATGTCTTTAAATATAAAGACAATCATACCAGTCAGGATGGTAGAACCACTGCCAGGGCTGGCCCCAGGAACGGGTGAATCCAGGTGGCGCCAGGATAAAGGAAACGGCAACCTGCCACAAGGTGACAGCACAGTAGAAATGCTGCAAACTTTTTATAGAGTTTGTTGAAAATCAAATGGCCATATTGTGATGCCTTTATCATTATCTTCCTACAAAGCTGCTGATTTTAATTCAATTTTGTTACAGACTATTTTAAGTGTGGGACTGTAGTGTTTAGATCTGTTGTTTTGTTCCTGTATTCTTTTTGACAAGACATGCAGGTTCTAGCAAGGCTGTACTTAAAACGTGACAACGAAGAGAACATGGTTCCTAAAAGCAGCTTTGGATCAATATATTAGAAGTGCTTCATTTTATGAACATTCATTTTTTTTTTCATTGTGCAAATGGAAAAAATTCAGCTCGGTGAAAATCAATGAGAGATAATTATGAATATGTTTATTTTACTTAAGATTATGTTTGAACAGGGTAAATAAATTTTCACAGGAAACAGAGATATTGTTTCTTTGGTTATGAGCCCACTACATTTGATTTGCTAATGTGAATGCCTCTGAAGGAGCATTAAGTTATGTTGACTTTGAATTTAGATTTGAAGGGAAAGAAATTAGAATGTATTCTTGATACTGTAATCAGGCTGTGCCGCTGGGTTGACTTGAAGCAAAGCACTATGGATGCAGGGGATCCGTTAATTTGTATGTACATAAGATTAAGATATGATCAATTTCAGGATTATGGCATTTATGAATACAAAAGTAAAATGTGTGGTGTATTTCAATAGAATCCATATGTATATTGTTTTATTATTATTATTATTATTTTAAGTACTTAGGCTTTTTGTTTCACTCGGGCTTTTAATAACTTCAACACTGTGTGATTTTGAAGAATGTAGATTGAAGTATGAAGCAAAAAAAAAATTAACTGAATCATTTTAATCTAAAACTATCTGATTGTATCAGAAAAAAATGAACAGCATTTAAAGATTTATAGGTTGGAAAGTGTATCAGATCTTTTGTAAATCAAAACCACCCACTTTGAAATTGCAAAATTCATGGCACTCTTATTTTACAAATTTCTTACTCTACGAATTTTACTTCAGTTTGATTCTCTGTATATTAAGGGAACAAGCTGAATTTTATTTTCTGTTGATTTTACAAATTAGGCTTCCATTTGATTCACTGCTGTACAAATTCCTTGTTTTCTAAACTTTATCTTTTCTGTTAGTTTTGTTTCCAGCACTGCTTTAAGTAAGGAAAAAGGTTTAAAGTACTTAAATATGTATAGTATATGTTCACATTTTTTACTGCACCTTTTCCAGGCATGGTGGGTATGCTTGGTGACAAGTAGATGTGCAATTTATGTACAGATATTTATTTAGTGGTATAGAAAAAATTATTATTATTTTCATTTTAATCTTAGTTTATTAATGAGCACCTTAGTTTAAGCAAAATCAGAACAGTCTGTCACATTTGTAAAAAAATGACATTGTATATTGCATTAACACTCCTTCACAATATAAATGACCATGACCAATTTTTTTCATGGGCAAAGACGAACGGAAATATGTACATAATATATAAATAGATATATTACTCTTTGTATGAAGTCTGAAGCTGTTATATATAAATATATGCCTATGTTTATACAAGAATTTGTGGCATCTGCAACACTGCTGATTTTGTATTGTATATGAGCTTTGAGCTGTTTGTAATGGCGTGTGTAGTGGCGGTGGTAGAGAACCAGTGATGGCGACAAATTGTAATGCTTTTTTTTTTT